TACCTTAATGGAATATGCGAAGATTGCCTTGTGTGCTCTTCTTCACAATTTCTACACTTCTCTAATGCAAAACAGGGGGCAAAATTGAATAAAAAAATATAAGAGGACAAAATATGGGTTTTATTTGTGTATAATGAAGAGTATGGTTGCGTGGTTTGTAAGCACCGTCGGATTTTGGATTTTTTGTTTTTAGACTGTTGTTAGAAGATATTGCAATGTATGGGGATGTATTGTGGAATTTGGAATGTTGGATTACAGTAATTTTGAGGAAGGAAAAGAAGCATTTATAATATTTTAATTATTTTTGGTAAGGAAGGAAGACTGCAAATAGCCCAATAAGTAGGGTTCGCGAAAAAGGTCCATGGATTGGCCCAAAAAATAGGCCCATGGAGAGTTCCATGAACGTTCTGCTCCATGGAATACCGTTACCACCGACTTACTCACCAAACGACGGCGTCAAATTGTGCATAAAAGTTGTAGTTAAATATTATTACTCTCTACGTTGATTTTTTTGTAATTTTAATTTAATTTTTTAATTTTTTAAACATAATTTTTAATAAAAAAATTAATATATTATATAAATAATAATTAATTTTCTGTATCAGATAAAATTATTCAATATAGTTCTACTCGATAAGAACTATATGTAGAAATTCATTTATTCTTCATTTAAATTATTAAGTTTTTGTTTAAAATTCATATTAAGAAATCAATAAATCAAAGTAATACTACTATAAATCGGCTGAGCATTGTCCAAATTACCTTCCAATGAAATAATAGGAGAGAAAGTGACCTAAAGAGAAAAATAGAAAGAGCCAATATCACGTAGTTTCCTTCCTATAGAAAGTCCAAATTGCGTAACAATTCGGTCCCCCACTAATGTCTCGTTTCAATGGACATTGAAACTACACACCACTTCGGGGAAGAAAAGAGCCAACCCATCACCATCCCGTAGATAAATTCGTGCATGCCATGTAATTACATAGACGTAAAGACAACAGCAACACCAAGCTATTATAAATAACATCCAACCACGATACCAACATGTCTAGTGTCTATAGCAAAATTCAACAACAGAACAACAGCACAAACAGCAGTAAAGATAGCAGCGAACCAACAGATTAATACAAATGTTTACACAACCAAAGTACAGAAGAATAAACGCCCCCATGATACCAAACAGATTTAGATAGATCCGTGAGGATATGGTGGTCACATGATAGCATGGCACGGTCCAATGAGTGAACGAGTGAGAAGGTAATTTAATGGGGCCACTTCATCAAGTGGTTGCATGATGATATAGAGAAGGTTCTCACTTGTGCAGTTTTCTACATCAAAGGAAAGCGATCCCACATGGACGAAAACATAACAAGAATACAAATGGAGTGGAGGAAGTAATGACTGGGTCCCAAGACATGCACTCAACCTCTTCAAGGGGTCCCTCCAGTATAAACAGCCTTCACATTCACATAGCCGACCCTCATGCGCGGTTGTCTTAAGAGTTACTTTCTCAAAACCCCATGACACAGACTAATGACTTACCACCCTTCATTGAGACATTGATATGCTAACCTCTCCTCCATCCTATAGAGACGAGAGATCACAAGTCAAAACAATTGGTTTCAAACTCGATCATTGACATAAGACTTTCAGAAGGGATTCAATATCTCTCAATCTCAACCATCTTCCCCAATTTACACACTCTCCTGGAGAGTTTATTCTACACAACTCCACAGCCACAAGCAACCATATTTACCTGGCTTATTTCACACACTCCGTTAAGAAATATCTAGTCAGAAGCTATAAATGGCAGGAGCTATAATTACCATAACTAGCGAGGAATGCGGCAACTCATGCAGTACCTAGTCCCAGGTCCTTTGCCTTGAGTCTCAAGGATTTCAAGTAACCGATGGCTTCATCAAGGACCATGATTGCATCTTTGCCCTCTCCATCTGGAATTATGCTGCGCAGAAGACTCACTGTGTCACGTATTTTTTCTTTTCTCACTCTCTTATTGCTCGATAATGAACTGAGTTCATCAGATTGTGTGATTTTGCCATTGGCACAGCTCGATTCAGCATCATCCTCGTATTCGGAGGATAGCCTGGGTTTCATAAAACATGCAGTGTCCAAAAGGAATGGAGCATACTCATTACCCCCATCAGACAGTTTTCTCTTTTTAGTTGTTCCGCCAGAACTGGCAACCTCTTCAGTGCTTCCCTCAAATTGCTCGTTGTGAGCAGTCATAGTACTTGGCGAATGACCAGTGCTAGAAACTTCATCATCCTCAGTACAATTATCATCATCATCATCAGAGGAAAGCAATGCATTCAGTTCTTCTGTGTCCTCGTGCATTTCACTTTGCACATCAGTGCCATTTCCATCAAATGCATCCATTGATATTGATCCCGTGTGGAGATTCAGATCTCCTTTACCTATAGGATCCTCCCCATTTGGATTATAGGCACCAAGCTGTTTTGGACTCCAAGAATTCAGACACTTGACAGCAGTGCCAAAAGCAGGACTGAAGATCAAGGTTGTTTGATCGCCAGATTGATCAAAAACAAGGAATCTCTTCTGAGTACACTCAGACCCTGCCTTTGGAGCAGCAACCTCCCTATAATTATCACAAGCACTAGCAAGGAGTTGCTCTTTTGGGATGGGGTTTGAAGCAGGCGTTAAAGCCTGTCGAAAGTGGGGTAAACAATAAAACCAAGCACGTGGTTCATTAACTTGGCCAACCTGCAAATGAGGTAGCTCAGTATTTGTATAAACAGGCACAGCCCCTGAGGCAGTAGAGGCCATCCTAATGCTAGGATTTATAAAATCAGGAATTGAAGTTTGATGCCCCAAAGGAAGAGGAGCAGCCAAAGAATTTACGTAGGGTGATTGCCAATCAAATTGCCGAGGAAACCAGGATCCACAGCCTTCCCCCATCCAACCAAAACAATCACCTAAAATATAAGCAAAGAACCAATATATCAGTTTCAATTTGACAAAATAATCCAATTAATAAATAATTGTATTAAAGTCTAAAGCTTACCAGAAGAAATATATTGGTAGCAGAAGAAATAGCAGTTCACTTGCAGTTTCGTTCAAGAACAAGGAAAAAAACTAAAAACTCCAGCTTAACTTAGACGCGAAGATGAAAAACTGATCTACGTAACGGGTTTTAGCAAATGACGGAAGTATTCAGCCTGGCAAATCCAAGAAAATAAAATGAAATCAGAAAATGCACAGCAGTGTCTCAGCAAGGAATCTCCATGAAAAAGATAGGAGGGCAAATCGCAAACCAATGGAACACAAAACAACACAAAAAGCATGGTACCTAATACTTCTTCCATTAAAGGTTTATTCTTAAAAAATGTTAAAAAGAATATAACATACCTGACAATCCTGAAGAGGTTGAAAGCAAGCTATGACTCTAACTACAATGGTGGCGCTCCCTGCAATTCCATTTTCGTACTTTAATGCCCGGAATCTTGCTTTACTCGCTGCTTGGCACACCATAACTACGTCCCAACCCTTCAATATGGCAGTAAAAAAGAACAGAATCTTCCAGAGGACGACAAATTTAATACCCCAAATCCGTAACCCGAATTATCCAGTTCAATTTTAAAACAAACAGAAACCAACAAAAAAGAAAGAAGCTTTGTCACCAAACTGAAGGAGAGACACTCTGGAAACAGGTAAATAAGTAGAGGTATGAAGTAATCAAACAACAAAGAGGGGCTTGGATCAGAAATTAGGGAGATTGGTGTGCTAATATTCAGCTAATCTGGCGGACATAACAAGGAACGACAATAAAGAAAGTGGATCCCATTGAAAACTGAAGAGAAAAAGGCAACAGAGAGAATGGAAGGATCTAGATTCTACACAATTTAGACGGGGAAATTACAGAATCACTTTGCAATAAAGATTCAAGGAGATGACTTTTCGAAAAACATCAACTGAAAGACTCAACCACCACCGCATGCTGTTGCTCGTCCACTCAAAATCGCCACGGTTCGCCTCCTTATACCTCAAAACCAATCCACCAACCCTGCAACAAATTCATTTTCGCATCAGAAACTTATCAAACAGAGATCTGAAGCATACGTTCTCCACAATTTACTGTTATACTGCCAAAATCACAGTTTCCAACATCAGATCTGATTGTTCTATCAGCTTTTCCCCGAATCCTCCATGAAAACGAACTAATCACACATCAAATTATAGAACAAGAAAATCAAGAACAAGCTACAGTTTCCACATAACACGAAAGCAAAGCACACAAGCTCTTTCTCGAGCTAAGCACGAAGCACTAGTACCAGAAAAGAAGCAACTCATAGCATAAAATCTACATGGAAACCGCAGAGAAAACTGGATAGAACAAACTAAGAATCGATTTTGAAGCAAATGAATAGAAAATGAGAGGAAACAAAAAGGTAACTATGAATCGAAGAAGCTGAGAACTTACAGAGAAAGCTGAAAGGAGAAAGCAACCCTAATCCAAATCGAAGAAAGCCCTAAACACTGGAGTGCTGCAAACCAGAGAGAAACTCCGAAAGGTATTTCAGGTTTACAGAAAGAACGGAGAAGGAAGTACAGTCAAAGTTGGGAGGATGCACGGAAGGGAAGGTTATATAGAACCTACATTGACGGAAATAACCCTTTTGAGGTGATAAAATAAATTAATAAAATGAAAATGAAAAAAAAAATAATCACACAGGAAAGAAAAAAAAAAAAAAAAAAAAGTGGGGGTACGTGCGTGCGAGAGAGGAGAGAGGGAAAGCACGGGAGGGATTAGTGAATGATGATAAGCACAGTTCGAGTCCGTGTGGTGGGTGTGGTGGACCCGGCGGTGGTTCTGTGTGATTACGTTTGGTTTGGGTTTTGGTTTTTTGTTTGAACCGAGCCACACAAATTTTTATTTTACAATATAATCTCACAATTTTGTGTAGTAATAATTATGATTAATTTATTTTTTATGATACATAATTTGAAAATTACTAGGACTAATCACTTGAATATTTTGATATTGAGTTTTTAACTGTAATATGAAATTTAACTCAAAAAAATGATTAGAGAAATGGGTTTTGGTGGCCGTTACTTATTGTACTATTCACAAATCCAAAAGCAGTGTAGTTTTGCTTTTATCTGCTTGATCCTGCCCATGCTTAAGTACCACTTTTTCTTCGATGAATTGGGATAAAAAGTACTTATTCAACAAAAAGAAGATAAAAAAGGGAGAAGTACTCGAATTGAGGTGCCCTTTTGAATGGATGTTTTGATGTTAAAAGCCTAGGAAAGTATGCAAGGAGAGCAAAAACTACCTTTCCAAAGGAGAGAAAAAGAACCCAAAATATTTTTTTTTTGAAGGTGGTAAGGAAGGAGGGGGGGGAGGGGGGGGTGGTATCCAATGTTTAACATGAACACCAATAATTTGTAGCTTGACCATTCAAAGCATGAATCATAGAAAGATGATGGGACCCCATTTGATGAGCATTGGGTACATGATTTTTGACGGTATAGCACTTGTTATTATCCATTCTAATATCCAAAAAAAAAAAGAAACTTTGCTTTAAAATGGGTGGTAAAAAAAAAAAAAAAAAGGAGGTTATAGGAGATGACCCCCTCAATAGATTACAATTATACTTTTCATTGATGTGATTCATGGATGTGGCCTAACCATCAAAATGGCCATCAGTGAGTGGCCCAGCCCCATCCGTAGTAGAAAGGATGTTTCCTTCCTGAAAACCCCCATTATTTTTTCTTCATTATAATGATATACCTTTGGATTACTATGTGCTTACACCCCCCCCCCC